GACAAATGTGCCCACCAGCCTAGAGCTCCCAGGGAGACCATGATATTTGGGGGGTTGGGGGGAGGTGTGTGTATAAAACATTTATTTTAAAAATTGTTTATGATGGCAATGGTAATAGGTGTTCCTTATTAAAAATTAAAGAAACCTTACAAAGTATAAATAAGAAAATTAAAGTCATCTATCACCTCCGCCCACTGTCGGTTGGGCTGCGTGCAGGAGATACACACGCTAAACAGAGCGGGGAGTGCGTGGTTCGGGCAGTTTTGAATCCTGTGACTTGGGCTTTAAAATGTCCTGAGCCCGGCCGGGCATGGCTCAGCGGTTGAGCGTCAACCTAGGATCCAGACGTTCGGGGTTCGATTCCCGGTCGGGGCACATGCCCAGGTTGTGGGCTCGATCCCCAGTCGGGGAGCCGATCAATGACTCTCTCATCATTGATGTTTCTCTCTCTCTCTCNACGTTCGGGGTTCGATTCCCGGTCGGGGCACATGCCCAGGTTGTGGGCTCAATCCCCAGTTGGGGAGCCGATCAATGACTCTCTCATCATTGATGTTTCTCTCTCTCTCTCCCTCTCCTTTCCTCTCTCTGAAATCAATAAAAGATATATTTTTAGAAAAAAAAATACGTCCTGAACATTTCCCCACACAATGAAATACCGAGGATACAGCGCCAAGGGCCGAGCTGGGGGTGCGGGTGTGGGCATCTGCTCTCCTGCCAGCTCCCGCGGCTCATCTCCGAGTAACGTGCGGCCCGTCTCTCCCGCCCTCGACTTCCTCAGCCAGGGGCGTTTACTTTTAAATATGTTTTTATTGCGATTTAGACAGAGAGGCAAGGAGAGGGAGACAGAAACGTCGACTGGCAAAGCCCACAGAGAGGCCCCTGGCCCTGGGGCCCCTGGGGCCTGCGGCCTGGAGCTCAAAACCCTCGAGGGGGTCAGACCCCTCCGCTAGCCCCCCAGGAAATCCGAGGCCGTCAGAGGGGACGGGACTGGCTCCAACAGCCCGCGGGAAGTCACGGAAGGAATGGCTTTAGAAATGGGGCACCAGCCTCAGCCCGGAGCCATGAAGAGAACCTTTGTTCCCTGAATCCAGGTCCCCGTGGTGGCAAGCTCGTGTCCCCAAGCTGCTGTCCCCCACCACCCTGCCTGGCGTCAGGAGGGACTGAAAGCGCTATTCACAGTGGTGGGGGTGCCGCAGGCAGGGGCACCCTCCCCGCCGACAGCCCAGCGCTGCCATAGGGGGCAAAGGACCCCTTTCACTGGCTCCACAGCGGAGACTCAGGGGACAAGAGGGGACACTGGGGACGAGGCCATCCCAGCTGACATCACCCCAGGAGGTTTGGCCGCAGAAAGGGAGGCCTGTCTGGCACGCGGGCCCAAGCCGACGCACCATGATGTCATTAAACAGCCCGTCTGCGGGACAGTGTGCGGCTCTCCCGTCTCCCGGCCCCGCTCAGCTGCCTCCGCCACTGGAGACAGAGAGACCATTGAAAGGAAACTGCGGCTAAAGAGGTGGGTGTTGGTATCACCATCCTCCCGGGGCCTCTTGGGGCAGGTCCCCGGAGCACCCAGTCCCTCTCCCCATGCCCAGGCCACCACCAAGTCCGGTGGGCGCTGCCTCCCAACACCACTGCTGTCCCGGCGTCGCCCGCTGTCCCGGCGTCGCCTCTGTTCCACTACCTGCTGACCCACCATCACCTGCTGACCCACCGCCTGCTGTCCCTTTACCATCCACTGTCCCCCAGGCCTGCTCAGGAAAGCCTGCTCGGGCCAGTCCCCAGCTCCCCACTGTATCCTGGGGCTTCCTAACCCTGCCAGAGAACGTGCCCCCCACCTGTGGGATGGGCCCGGGCCAGCCGCAGCCTCCCTTACCTTGGAGATACATCTCCTCGCCCTCGGCGAACATCCGGCCGCACCTGACGCACAGCGCACACAGGGGGTGGTAGTGCTTCTGCCCCGCCTGCGAGGACAGAGCACAGGGTTTCGGCTTCGGCGGGTGGTCCGCGGTGCCCAGGGGACGCGGCAGGCGTGCTGCAGGCAGGGAGCCCACAGAGCCGGACCGAGCGGCACCCCGGGCGCTGTGAAAGCGCCTCTGCCCACGGCGGGCCTGGAGCAGGGGCCGGCCACCCG